CTGCGGGGAACTCTGCAAAAAACGCATCTTCGCACGGGCAGCCCGTGCGTTGGCCAATTATTTCATCTTGTAAAGCATGATTGTTATGTGTCTTGCAGAATGCTGCCCTCTTTTGGTACAATTTATTCCCTAGTGGAGAAGGTGATATGCGAACAAGGCATGCAGCGTGCCCAGTGCTCACTGGCATTAAATGGGTGGCCAACAAATGGATTCATGAAAAAGGCCAAGAGTTCCGCAGGCCCTGCGCGTTAAGGCCATCGATGGAGGAGCGATTTGTCGGCGATGTAGGCGGTCCGGAGCCAAGATATCATTGGAATATTCGGGCCTAATAAAAGCTGACACATCGGGTCAGTATTGTGACTAGGAAGAAGACGCCATTTCTTTTTGCTCAACAGCGTCACGATTGCTTAAATGAAATAGAAAAATTCGGATTGGAAAAAATGAGTCAGTTAAAGGTTCTAGAAAATTAGCTTTTCTGGATCTTATTTCTTGTTTTTTAGAGTAATTTTGCGATTTTTTTGTCCAGGATACGAAATTTGGTCAGGGAAACATAAGATTCAGTTTAAACAAAAAATTAAAAATCGCTAAACTACCCTAAAAACCAAGAAAACAGACTCAGAAGCGTTGAAGACTTGCGGAAAAACGTGGGAAAAGGTTTCTGTTGAACCCAAAAGGCTCTTAGTTCTGGACGAACTTTTTTTAAATTTATGCTCTAGTTGTGTTCTTTTTTTTGCTGTACAAATCTTTAAACTCTTCCTCTGAATCCAGTAATCTGTCAAATGAAAAACGAGAAGCTGAACAAAATAACAGTAAATTGGGGCTAAAATCAATAATTCTAGGGTAAAATTCAGTTTACTATAGCTCTTCTGTCAACTGGTCACCATTTCCTTAATTACTGATATTTCACGACTCTTATTATTAACCAGCTATCTGGATCTCCTTTTAAATGCGTTATTATAAGAAAACCAGCATCTTGCATTTTATTTTGGCAGCCTTGGACCTAATGATGACTTCCAGAATAGGTCAAGTAACGAAGCTTGGTATTAGCAACTACTGCAAGTCTGGGTAAGGCAAGCTACGTCCCAAATGCTAATGGAAAAGGGAAAAGTGCAAAACTCATCTTTAGGTTAATTTCAGCCTTTCTTGTTATTTACACCGGTTTGGTTAAATAATTATCAATCATTTCCATTCATATATCAGGCGCTTCAACTTAATTCATATTTCAATGCGATTAATTAAACTTGGATTAGCTGATCAGCATGGATGGATTGGTCAGACTTAGAGTGATTAGAATTACATTGACGCCAACCAAGCTCGGTTGACGATTTTCCTGATGACAATTTTCTGTAGCAGTACACTGCTACAAACAAGATACGGTAAATTATAAATTAGATGCCAGGGATGAGAGATTTGGAAATGAGACCCACATATGAAAATTTCTATGTGCCTTTAAAGTTGAACTGTCAAGTACCGATTTAGTTTTAACGTATTTTTCGCTTGTATTTATTAGTGATCTTGTGTTGCTGTGCTTCAGCGATTATTATCATGTGTTTAAATAAAATATGAAATTATCGAAGCTGAATAAAGCAGATTCACAAAAAAAAAGAAAGTATGTTCAGAAAAAGAATATAATTTTGTCAACGGAAGAAGAATGTAATTTTTTTGTCA